AAAATTCAGTTCTATTCAACTGCTCACTGAAAATGGCAGCTCAGCATGTTGGCATAGGCTACCTGACTACTCCAACTTGACTTTTCTGGAAAGCAGGGGCTGCTAAAGGAAGGTAGGCTTTTCTCTGCTCCAGTTATGAAATAAGAGGATTGACCCTGTTATCAACAGTGACAACTTTTAAAGAGCAAAAAGAAAAAAATAAGAATTAATGGCTAATTTTTATAACGGAATGTCAGAGATACTGTGGATCAGTACTGGAGAACAAGAAGTGAGCCCAATAAATATAGAATTAAAATTGTGGAGCCTGTTGTACCCTCTTTAATGGCTAATGACTGCAATTTTGTGATAATTAAAACAAAATTTAAAAAACTGAAATCTGATTTTTCTAAATATTTCCATTTTTTTTTAACCAACCTAACATAAATACAAAAGTTACTCAGGCTCCAAGATAATATCTAGCATGGCTATGCAGTGTTTAGATTGAAAACACATAGGTGCTTAGGTCATGTAGCACCTGTCAACAACTCTTTAAAGCAACTGCATCTTTTCCCTGAATTGTGCATCTCCATCCACAGCTGTAGTACAATCCCAGTTAAGATGCATTTGATTTAAGAAGATGCTAAGAGTTGCTATGTGTGTCCCCACACACTCTCCCAAATATGTTTAAATTCAAAACACTGTACATCTCTAGTAACTTGCTAGGCTGATCTAAAGCTATAAAGAAAGTAGATGGGCCAGGCTCACCTAAGCGTATCCTACATTTCTAAGCTGACACATCTCATGCTCATTCTTGTACAATTAACAATCTGGGCTGTTCTCCATGAGACATATTCTAGTAGCTGATTCTTCCACTTTCTGTGCTTCTGCAAAAAACATTAATATTCAGCAGTTACTATTAAGTTTTGCTAATAATGCCTACAGCCACTCTTACTCTGGTGAGACTAAATTGTATGAATCTCCTTCAGTCTGGACTCTTTTCCATTCTTTTCCTGTCACAGAAATCCTGTTTTCTTTCCTGAGAGAGTGGGAATTTACTGATTTGTCCTCTAATCCTATCACCTTTGTAAATATGAGAAAATCTGCAGTATAGGAACCCTAATTTTAGAACATTAGGGAACTGTGCTGGGGTTTCTTTTATCCAATGCAGATTATTTTTTCCCCAATTTTCTGAAATTTTCACACTTGCAGCATTACAAAAGAATAAACCAAAACAAAATAAACATCACAAATGACAATCAGGTAGAAGCCTGAACTTTACAATTCTGTTAACACTGAGCCATGACTTTGCCTGATGACTATAATTTGATCTACTTCAGATAATATCATAATTCTTTGTTAGTGTATTTTGATAGGCTCATGTATCATGTATTAACCTTCCATATTTGTAAGGAACATGAATTAAAATCAATATTAGCCCCTGCACTGCACTGATACTAGCTAGGTAAACACTTAAAAGAGGAAAAATGAGGATAGCACCTTTGCCCCACCTGGCATCAGCAGGTAAAAAGGTCTGAAAATGCCAGGCCTATGTTGTAGCTGATGCAATTCCTCTTTATTTTACTGGCATGAAATCAGGGCCTGACCCAGAAAGTGGAAAGTCTGGGCAAAATGGCTACAAACCTTCCTTCCCCAATCTCTCAAAATAGCCTCACCCTTAGGCGCTAAGTAGGAGTCCAGAAACTTGCTGAAGGTGATGGTAATAGCCTAGAAGAATAAAGTGCAGTTGCTACCCATTGTTACTACCGTCTGGGCCCCTCAGAGGAATTGTTAGAGTAACGTTTGGGAGAAGACAGGTGGAAGAGTTTTGGAGTACAGTAAGGGAAGCTGGAAGATACTTTGCTTTGGGCCTCTCAAATCGAGTACAAACTCCAGTTGTGCCAATCATTTTGATGCTGTTTTTCTTTACCAAAATTTTTCATATACTGCTCAGTATCAAGATGCAACTGGACATCTTAAACCGTGTCACATTAAAAACTACCATGCTGCTCACCATTTTGCTATCCCTGCCCCTCCAGGAGGTACATATGTGAACTTCCACTTTTCTAATGCCAGATTTTTAGCTGCTCATGAAGCTCACTGAATTATTTCTCATTTCTGACACAAAGCTGGAAGCAGAAGTGTGCAAAATGTTTTGAATTTGAAATGTTCTGTTTTGAATTCAAAACAGCCACTTCAAGTTTAAACAGTTGTTTTATGTTAGAAACCGCTCTGAGTGCCTGAGCTCTATTTAAAGCATAAAACACAGAATGGCTAGGACAACCTGTTCCAAACAAAATGACTGTTTCAAACTCGAAACTTTTCAGATACAAAATGTGTTCCATCTCTCTAGCTTGAAACCCTTGGATATGCCATTTACATTCTTTACTTTATAGCTGGAGATCTAAATGTACAATTTACTCATTTATTAGTTTTATTTATTAAAATTGTATGCCCCTGAAAAATTCTGATTCCTGGTGGCTTACAACAAAATAAAATACAATAAAAATATCTGCTGTAAGAAAAACAAAAATAAGTATAAGAAAACCTCCATGATAACAAAAGAAGAATATATTTAATTAAAACCTTCAGAACATCAGCACCTAGGATACCTAAAATTCCAAACCAAAATTAATAGTAAGGATAAATAATGAAATAAAGAAAAAATGATGACGGTGAAGGATCACATTGGAAGAGTTCTGTATTTGCCAAATGTCAAATGAACATTGTTGAGGGAGCCAGTCTAAGTTCTAGAGGAAGAGTGTTTCAAAGAATAGGCACCATAGATGAACAGCAATGCTTCCTAGACTCTGCCCTCACCTCAGGAAAATTCTATTGTTTGGCTCAAATTCTTCTTGGACACAGAAGGGCCAGGGCCAAAAGCAGAAAAATGTGGAGACAGGAAATACTATGCTCACTACTACAGCTCTGTGTTCCCTTCATTTTCTAATTCATAATATTTCGTTTTTTAGAGAGGCCTTTCTCTTAGTTATGGCCAAAACAGCAAGCAAATAACGAATACTGTGTTTGGGTACACTCTTTCCCCCAGGCACCACTCTTCTATGGTTTCCAGACAAGATCTTGGACAAATATAAAATGAGACTAGACTATGTTCTACCCATGTTTCGAAGTGGAGTTAGTAACAATTGCACAGAATCTTAAATCTTAGCAGAATCTTAAACAGCATGGCATCCATAATGCTTTACTTCTGCAAAGTGGTGATCACACTCTGTTCCTCACTGCAACAATAAAAGAATAAACTAAATCTTTCAGGAGCTTCAGGAGACTCTGAAGATCCATGTTAGGTTAACCTTGGATGCAGCGAAGACTAACAGAAGGACTAGATCTGAGGTATATAATATTGTATGGATTAAATTACTGCATGAACACTCCATGTTTAATATAACCACAAAACAATTCAATCACAAGCTACTTTTACTTGAAGCAGCTGTTGGTAGACTTTTAGATAATTCCTTTACCATTGTATGCATGGATAGATTATGCTTAAACCATGTATTCAGAACACACTTTTTTTCCCCGTCACCATTCTCATTCATTGTTAGGGCTCTAAGTGGCCCAATAATTTGTTTTGTACCCTTGTCTTATTCTCATCCATCCATTCACGTTACCTAACACAATAACTTTTTCCCAAATCATGTTCATGCAAAATTTTGCAATTATGTATTTTTTCCCTAAACTCATCCCTGCTTCTTTCATTATGACCATTCACTAGAGCGTAACATACAACTTTCTCCAATTTATGAATTTCTGCTTTTATATGAACCTACAACTTAAAAACTACCAGTTCATATTTTTCCAATATACTTTTTAGCCCTTTTGTTCATAATTAAACCTACACTTTGATTCGTCGACTCCACTTTGCAAGATTAGGTCATATTTTTTCTGCTTTCTCTTAGTTTCATAAACACACACTTGATTTGTTAATTCATGTTCTTTACTATTTACTTCTCTTTTACAGTATTCCAAGTTACAATATTCCATATGCCATGATTATCAACAGATGAACCCATGAATATTGATCTCTGCTGTCCATTATGGTTTTATTCTACAGAGACTTCTATACAATGTTTTTTTTAATAAGATAGAGAAAAAGTGGAACAAGATACTATCATTAGTTTCACCTGTGTCCTGCTAATGCTAAGGACACAATACTGATCAGTTTTGACACATCTTGGCCAGTATACACAACCAAAGCCCAGTTTTAACCCAAACATGCTCAGGCTATTCTACGCAAGCTGTGATCTCTAATCTAAAATCTACCTCACAAGCCAATATCCTGTTTTGTGTAATTCATCAGATAGAATGTACATGCAGTGTCTGACATACTGAGAACTAAACTATGCTAAATGGCAACTATGTGATGTATGCATGTGGGTGAACCAGGCAAATTTTATTTTGTCATGAAAATATTGCCACTAAATATATATATAAGAGAAA